AAAAGAAAATAAAGTAAAAATAGAATATACACCCTGTCAGCTCATAATCATGACGGGTTAAGTCGGCAGTGCATGCATCAGGAGTTCACCTGCGGTATGTGGGGTTCTCGCGTTCCCTTGTTCACTAACATTCATATATTTTTTTGTCTGTTATCTCGTCCTGTACTATTTGCCTGATACTGCCAAATCGTTTTTTCTCCGTTTTTTGGTGGAAGACATTGGAGGAAGGGACGTAGCGATATTCACTTTTATCCTCATTACTTTTTCTTTTCAAGAAACCCTCTTTTCACTCTCCTCGCCTCTATTCATAGAAAGTTTTCTTTCTTTTTTTTTTGTTTGTCTTTTTATTTTTTTATTTAAGTTTGGTATAGGGTTACTCTTACACCAAATCCCAAAGAAGCTGGTCCCCTTCTGAGGCAGTTTTCCGACCACTGCTCTAGATAAAGGGAACCTGACAATATCTAATCACTGACTGAATATCTTAGTGAAGGTGGGAAAATGTTAGAAAAGACATTATTGGGTCAATTATCAAAAATAGGAATATGAATTGGACCCAAGTATTTCAGCAATGCTAAATCTATTTATGTGAAAACTGTACTGTGCTTATGAAAGAGAAGATCCTTAATTCTTAGGAAATACACTCTTAGGTATTTTAAGAGTAAAAGGCCATGATGTGCATCTTAAACGATTCAGAAAAACATGACATGTACTAGTATATATAAAAAGAACACGACAATAATGGAAATAACAAGAATGGTAACCAATGGTAAAATACACAGGCAGTCTAGTCTTTGTGCTTTTATTGACACAAAGTTTGAAATTAATTCCTAAAAAAAGTTTTTAAAAATAGTTCCTTTTTTGTTGTTGTTGTTAATGCTCACCCGAGGATATTTTTTCCACTGATTCTTTGAGAGAGTGGAAGGGAGGGGAGACAGACTAGGCCAGGGATGCAGCCTGCAACCGAGACACGTGCCCTTGATTGGAATCGAACCCTGACCCTTTAGTCCACGGGCCGACACTCCAACCACTGAGCCAAACCGGCTAGGGCAAAATAGCTCCTTTGTAAAAGTCTTTAAAATCTGAGCGTTTCAGAATAGCATTTCCCTGTGCTGATTTTTCCAAGTTCCCCCTGAGTCTCGCTCAAGTCTGAAGCCTGTACCCCCCGAGCTGGGCTTGCCCACTAGCTCAGCTCACGGAGGGCGCCCCCAGCACTGTGCCTTTCTAATGACACTCACTCAGGAGAAGTGAAGCCACACAAGTTCCTGGGGAAGAGCCTAGGCAGAGAGACAGCATGACAGAGCCCCCTCACCCCCCCCCACCCCACCCCCCGGTGCAGAACTAAGCGCTTCTACTCTGGGGAAAGAAAGGTCCTTAAAGGCTTCCGGAAGTTGCCGACCTTGAGTGCTCTGAGGATAGGAGGGGGAGAGGAAGTACAGGGGAAGACTGAGGAGTTGCACCATGGCTGAAAAATGCGGGCTTCTGCACACTGGGACCAGGCCATTAAAATGGGCAGTCGGGGTCTTCAAGCACAGCAGCAGCATCTGGATCCCAGTCAAGAGACCAGCAGAGAAGCGGGTGGTGGAGGGACGAGATCAATCAGGGGCTTCTCCAAGGCCCCCAAAAGGCCCCTGAGACCAGGGGGGCGGGGGGAGGGGGTTGAGAACAATCTCCCCAGCAGGCCACGGGCCTGAGGTAGGACCAAAGCCTTCCAGGACACCAAGTGCGGGCTTGCCTACAGTTATCACTTCTCCAACTCTAACTCGGAATCTAGAACGCAGATGAAAATTGCACGTGCTCTGATAAGGCCCATATTGAACTCCTGACTTGGCAAACTTTCTGATAACTTCTGCTAGGTCGGCAGAATAAGCATTCCTCTATTTTGGAAATGAGGAGATGGAGTTTAAAAACTCAAATCACTGTGCCTTAGGCCAAATACTTAAGACTACTAATGTTTTAGAACAGAGAATACCTAACTGGGGCTCTTAATAAGGACCATGGACAACTGTGTACCATGAGAAACCCCTAGATTTGTGTGCAAAGTTTTGACTATCTATATTTTTTTTTAAATGCTGCTATACATTTTTCTAAGAAGATGGGCTATAAAATCCATACTTTCCAAGGGATCCACACGCCCCCAAGAACAGATTTTTAAAATTATTTCTCAAAAAGAAAGAAAAAAAAGCAAACACAGTTGCATCGTAAGTAGAATAATTAAAATCAATGTTAAAAGCATGAGCATATAATCCATGTTATAAAGAAATTTCACATTAAGGCCAAGATTTAAAGTGTTCTGGCTTATGAACTGTGATGCTAAAATTATGGACATGACCATGTGAAATTTTGCCATTACAGCGGGTGTCCAAACAATATCATATTGCCGTGCCAACACAAAGAACAAATGGAAATGAAGACAAATCTAAACCTGCCCTTTGCTCGACTAGAACAGAACACCAAACGCCTACATAGTTGGCATTTGTGCACATTTAAAAAAAATAACAGTAATTGGACTAACGGGGCGACACAGGTGGAATAAGGTGGGGTCCGCCCCCCAGGAGCGCAGGCTGGTGGGAAATACTTACTTCGGAGTCGAACACTGAGAATCTTGGGCTCTGAATGCTGCTGCTGCTGCAGCAGGTCAGGCTGGACAGGGACCCAAGATACTGAGCTAGAGAAGCGGGCTCTGGGACCTGGGGGAGGCTGGAGACACAACGAAGGCAGTCCCAGACACGCTGACACGCTGACACGTTACCATGGACCACGTGAAGGAATCGCCCCCGGGAGAGACTTACTGTTTTTTCAGCTGCCTCTGGCCTCTTCGTTTGGGGCTCCCACTCTCAGACCCGCTACTGGCCTTCGGTGTGTGAGGGGGAGAAATGAGCACAGACTTTAATTCACAGTCATCAGGGTCCGCACGAGCCCGATTAGCAAGTCTACTCAGTATAACACCATTCGACGTGAGCTTCCCGGCAGAAAGAAACCTCAGCATTTGTGTGGGGGCGCCCTCTCTCCTTTTGCTTTGAAAATTAATTCGTGTGTCATTTCTGAGTTGTCTCTAATGCCAGGAGGTATTTCTCAGCTTGACTCCTATAAGCGTGCGGGACGGTAGGAGTTTCTGAAATGATGGTATTGCTCTGCACCTGCACAGGCCCTGTCAGATATCACAGCCAGCAGGCTCCTGTGGCCACCGGGACCCTGAAGTGGGGCTAGAGGGACTCAGGAATGGAATTTTTCATTTTACTCCGTTTCAATGAGTATAAATTTTAAACATCACGTGTCTAGTGGCGATCGTGCAGATCTAGAATGTCACATGAAAATGTCACTGCCCTGACCGGTTTGGCTCAGTGGATAGAGCGTCGGCCTTTAGACTCAGGGTCCGGGGTTCGATTCCGGTCAAGGGCATGTGCCTTGGTTGCGGGCACATCCCCGGTAGGGGGTGTGCAGGAGGCGGCTGATCGATGTTTCTCTCTCATCGATGTTTCTAACTCTCTATCCCTCTCCCTTCTTCTCTGTGAAAAATCAATAAAATATATTTAAAAAGAAAGGAAAATGCCACAACATTGAATGTGTCATTAGCGGTGGTGGTTACTGATCAGTTTCATTTGAGACTCATTCACGAGCATGATCAGCAACGGTGCTCTGCTAACAGCACGTGGCCGAGGGAAGTTCACCGTCAGAGACGTCTTTGAACAGCTCTTTCCCGCCAAAGTTAAGCAAAATGGCCAACCTTCCCCACTGCTCTTGTTCCGGTGCCCTACAGAGAACATGTTAACTTATATTCAAAAGGTTCATACATCTATGTGATTGGTTGTGGCAAAGATAGCACGGTGACCCAGTCCTACACGCTGTGGGGAAAGAAAGCTAAGGCAAACCAGCTCCGAGGTCAAAATAAGACACCGTAAAGGCAATGCCAATGTTATGGCCAATTAGATTTTTAAAACCGATTAACTAAAATCCACCCCAACTCACTAACCTTTGGCTATCAATATTTAACTTTTAGCAGAAGGATGATATATTGTTAAGAATGGCAAAAGCAGGGGGTCACTTCCCTGAGACCAAAAAAAAAAAAAGTATCTCTTCAGAATGGAATCTATAAGCCTAACACAGAGGTAAGAATCCACAAAATTATCACAAACTGAGAAAAGTCTGATTCTATAGAAACCATGGAGCCCAGTACTAATTTTAGAAACCACCCACCTCTCACAATTCCACCACAGAGTAAATCTGTGTGAAACTAAACATGAGCTAGGAAACCAAATGTAAAGAAATGAGTTAAAATACATTATTTATGTCAAGTAAACTCTTTTCTCAGAAATACACCTGAAACTCGTTCCATTGTTTTGTATTTGTTTACCAGGCAAGTTACTCAGTGAACAAAAAAGTAGGAGATTTACAACCTAGATACTTAAAAAAAAGTAAATATCTTACTACAATCAATTTCACTATGAGAAACATCCAAAAAAAATTAAAAATTTAAGGCCAGTTCTGTATAGTAATCTTAACCCTCTACTGCAACATTCACTATTACATGCTCTTCCTGGAAAGTTTCTTTTTCTAAAGCCCCACGTGGCTTTCCTTGCTGTGCTAGGTAGAGAAAGTTCTCATTAGTCATTTAACTCCCACCCTGACGTTGAATCTTTGTTCATGGCAATACATGCTGGAGTCGGAAAGGATAAGGTAAGGTAAGGAGCTTCAATATACCCCCTTAAAACATTTCTTTGTCTTACCTCCTCCTTAATATTAAATCGTGATGGTTCTTGTCTGCTTCGGTTTGACCGCCTAACCCCATAAACATCCGGATATTCTTCCCACATCTGTAACATTAACAGACCATGCATGAATCTTTTTTCTCTTGATCCCCACCCCCATTTTCTATTTTCACTACTACTGCAACACGTATTTTAATTTAAGAGCATTCAAGTAACTAAATATCAAAAGGGTTGTTTGGTTAGTTTTGTTTATGGGACAAATAAACGCCCATCTTTAAAAAGAATAAGGCACAATATCCTAGAACACATTAAAGTGTAACAATGGCCCTAGCTGGCTTGGCTCAGTGGATAGAGCGTTGGCCTGGGGACTGAAGGGTCCCATGTTCGATTCCGGCCAAGGGCACATGCCTGAGTTTCGGGCTCGATCCCCGGGGCGGGTGTGCAGGAGGCAGCTGATCCATGTTTCTCTCTCATCATTGATGTTTCTATCTCTCTCTTTCCTTGTCTCTTCCTCTCTGAAATCAATAAAGAAATATATTTTTTTTAAAAGAAATATATTTTTAAAAAATAAAAATAAATAAAGCGTAACAATGCCTCTTCATTACTAATGGCTATTAAACTTATATGGTACACTGCTTACTCATCATTAAAACATACACTTACAATTGAATAACATGGCAAGGGAGCACTGGCTTCCACTAAGGGCAGATTTATTTACTGATGAATTTTAAGCCCCTAATGTTTTCCATTCAGCTTTGATTGGTTATTGACCCACCTGAGAAACTAAAAAAAAAAAAAAACCAGCCCGGTCCCACCAAGTCTAATTAAATCGGAATCAGGGCATGTGTATATTTCTTTAAATTCCGCAGGACGTAGGTGACGCCAGATACATATAAATAGTAGGTATGTCTAACATTTAGTTAGAAATTTTCAGAAGGAGAATCACTGCTACCCTTTCTCTAGCACACCCAATTTTACTCTGAGCAGTAACTATTTTTACTATTATTAGGTATTAATAGTTTGTAACTCTTTTTCTAACTATTATTAAGAACTATTTTTACTAACAATCCTCACCAGCAGTGAAAAAAAAAAGATCAAAGGAGGGATTGGTTGAAGAGGACTTTTTTTTAAAATATATTTTATTGATTTTTTTACAGAGAAGGGAGAGGGATACAGAGTTAGAAACATCCATGAGAGAGAAACATCGATCAGCCGCCTCCTGCACGCCCCACAGTGGGGATGTGCCCGCAACCAAGGTACATGCCCTTGACCGGAATCGAACCTGGGACCCTTGAGTCTGCAGGCCGACGCTCTAGCCACTGAGCCAAACCGGTTCGGCGAAGAGGACATTTTTTTTCACAGCGTGTTTGAGCACCATCTTCTACAAAGACTCAAGCCAAGAAACGTGTAGAGAAAATACACAGGCCCCTCCTTCCTCGGCCTCTAGGGATTAGAGTCTGGGCCCCGATCTCACTCTCCACCCAACAATCACTGCGGCCACGCACACTGTGCTCTTTTGGTAAAACCAGTCCCGGGGGCGGAATGAATTGGAGCGAACTGTGGAAGGCCGAAGCGAAAATGTTGTAAACACGCAAAAGAGATGCGTGACAGCCCAGATCAGCAACGGGGCTTTGTCATCAACACCTGGGTGACAGTTACGGGCAAGAAAATATGTGGAAAGTGAGGCAAGAGGAGAATGCCGCGGGCCAAGACTCGGGATGTATGTGTAAAGTGGACCTCAAACGAGACAAACTTGACGCAAGACGACCCAGAAAAAAACAATGTCACCAAGCCAAGGGAGGGCGTGATCAACAGTGCCTTTAAAAACGCCGAGTCTTGCCGTGGCCGGTTTGGCTCAGTGGATAGAGCGTCGGCCTGCGGACTGAAGGGTCCCGGGTTCGATTCCGGTCAAGGGCATGTACCTTGGTTGCGGGCACATCCCCAGTGGGAAGTGTGCAGGAGGCGGCTGATGGATGTTTCTCTCTCTCATCGATGTTTCTAACTCTCTATCTCTCTCCCTTCCTCTCTGTAAAAAATCAATAAAATATATTAAAAACGCCGAGTCAGCTACCGAAAACGAGGCCTCCCAAGAGAACAAGGGAGATGGCCCAGGAACAGGCACTCCAGAACTAGACTCCGATGTAATCCTGTGACCCCGCGTCTTCCGCTTACGAAGGTGGAAAGCCCATAATGGCCTTGGAATGATCTGAGAGGCAGAAGACAGAAGGTCTGACCAGAGGTGTTAGGACAGCGGTTCTCAACCTGTGGGTTGCGACCCCTTTGGCGGTCGAACAACCCTTTCACAGGGGTCGCCGAAGACCATCCTGCATATCAGATATTTACATGACGATTCATAACAGTAGCAACATTACAGTTATGAAGTAGCAACGAAAATAATTTTATGGTTGGGGGTCACAACATGAGGAACTGTATTTAAAGGGCCAGAAGGTTGAGAACCATGGCGTTAGGACGACCAGGTGGCAGGAGCTCTGGGCCCGAGAGGCAGCAGAGGGCGGACACTGAGCAAGTCTGGCCGAGAGAGGAAGGAGGCAGAGAGCCTTACTCTCGTCCCGTCTGCCCACCCCGCCCCCGCCCCTTTTGGAGCCTCTGTTAGAGCCGTGAAATTCTTCAACACGGGTATTTACGAAGCTTTTAGTAACGGGGGTGGAAGCTAAACTATTTTGTGTCCCTATATCAACCAGTTTTATCATTTAAAAATATTAGACTTGCCGGAACCGGTTTGGCTCAGTGGATAGAGCGTCGGCCTGTGGACTGAAAGGTCCCAGGTTCGATTCCGGTCAAGGGCATGTACCTTGGTTATGGTATCAATGAAAAGCTACCGTGTAAAAGGGATGTGTATACAGAAAACAAAGAACCTTCTTTAAAAGCTCTCCTTTTAGAATCATCATCGTTTCAGTCACAATGCAATCTTCCTAACTGGCTGTGCTGTCCACGCATTAACTTGATGAACGTTTTAGAACTGATCACCTAAATTTTACAAGTATATTTTAATATCTCTGCCTGAAGTACTTCTGCCTTGAAATTCAGTCTGTCTTAGCAATGACTCCCCTTCTTTCTGAGTTCCCCCTTCACCTTTTTAAATGAATTTAAATATACGAAGTCTTATAAGCTAACAGGTGTGAATGCCAGACAGTAACACTATTTCAGCAAAGTTTTAGACACACTACACAAGCCATGCACGGTTGCTATGGTTTCCTTTCATCTCCGCAAATAAAGAACTCTCCACTGTGCATTATTGTACATAAAAAAAGAAAAATTTAACCACCTTTTAATTTTTTTAAAAAGTATATTTTTATTGATTTCACAGAAGAAGGGAGAGGGGGAGAGAAAGAAACATCAATGATGAGAGAGAATCATTAATAGGCTGCCTCCTAAACACCCTCACTGGGAATCGAACCATAACCTCCTGGTTTACAGGTCGACGCTCAACCTTTGAGCCACACCGGCTGGGCTTAACCACATTTTTAAAATGTTAAAAAACCAAAATTATAGATTTGTCCTTTTGCCCTATAATTTGATGGCTTATGTAATTACTTTCTTTGTAGCCTCTGATCAACAACTAGAACAGAAAGCAGTCCTCATTTATATCCGGGGGCACTATCCTATATAATAAAAGGCTAATATGCAAATCGACCAAACAGCGCTATGATGCACACTGACCACCAGGGGGTTCAACGCAGGAGCTGCCCCCTGGTGGTCAGTGCGTTCCCACAGGGGGAGCGCCGCTCAGCCAGAAGCCCTGAGCCAGGCTCACGGCTACAGCGGCGGTGGTGGGAGCCTCTCCTGCCTCCACGGCAGCATTATGGATGTCCGACAGCCGGCTTAGGCCTGCTCCAGTCAGATATCCCGAGGGCTCCCGGACTGTGAGAGGGCACAGGCCGGGCTGAAGGACCCCCCTCCCCCTCCACCAAGTGCACGAATTTCGTGCACCAGGCCTCTAGTATTAATAGAAAAGGGGGCTGTGGTTTCCTTATCAAGATACCCAATGGGTTTCCTTGGGAAAGAAAGGTCTGCTAGCTGGTCCCAGCTGCAGGCAATTTGTACAGTACAGCAAAAAAGATACCTTCTTCACATCGGCTATCCGTTCCTTCTTGGAGGCTGGCTTCTCTTTGGCTTCCGGAAGGACCGGCTGGGATTTGGACCCCGCCGATTCACTCTCAGATTCCGACTGACTCTCCGAAGACTCAGAGCTGCTGTTGGACTCGCTGCCATGTCCACTTCCTGGGTCGCTGCCCTGCTCGCTCTCCGACTGGCTGCCTGAGTCGGACCCCGAGGCTTCTTCAGATACTGAATTACTTAATAAGGAAAAAAATGCACATAGATTGAAAAAGATTTAAGAACCTCCACATAAGTCTGTTTTTAAAAAATCCTCAAAGTAAAATGATTGGAAAGTGGCTAATTCTGGTAATACAAAAATCAAGATTTCCAATTTTACTTCTATATTCTTACATTGCAAATGATATTACTATCATTCTCAACATCCTTATTGGCTACCATTTCCTGAGTGCTTATCTGATGCCATATTCCAGCTATTTTATATAAATTAGTTTCTCTGACAAAAACGCAGAAAGAGAATATTATTTTCTCCTTCCTTCATATAAAAAAAAAACTGACACTCAGAAGTACTTAAGTAACTCTCCCAAGTGAAACAGGTCGATCTATCTGAATCCAGTAAGTTTTATTTATTTAGTATCATCCCTCCCTCAAGACAAAAACAAAGCAAAATGCAACAGAGAAAAAACCAAACCCAGGCAGGGTTACCCAAAAAGTAAGATTGCAATGCGGCTGTCATTTTCCGATCAATGTCCTAACGATCAGTGCTAATCAGACTGCATGGCAGCTCCCTAAAAACATACACATTCACCCCACACCAGAGGCCCTGCCCGGGAACCTCCCACAGGGAGTCCCAGACCTGGGAGACCTCACAGAAGAAAATGAACACAAAGAACACACTGATGCTCAGGGGAAGGCCTAATGCAATGCAGACTGCTACTGGCCACCCGCATCCCTGACCTTCCTCACTCCTCAGGGCCCCACCCAGTTTGGCTCAGTGGATAGAGCGTTGGCCTGCGGACCGAAGGGTCCCAGGTTCGATTCTGGTCAAGGGCACGTACCTTAGTTTCGGGCACCTCCCGGCCTTGGCCCTGACTGGGGTGCGTGCAGGAGGCAACCAATCGATGTGTTTCTCTCACTTCGATGTTTCTCTGTCTTTCCCTCTCTCTTCTACTCTCCCTAAAAATCAATGGGAAAATATCCTTGGGTGAGGATTAACCACCACCAACGACAACAACAAAATAAACACTGCTTAGGGAGGCAACCTAAGGCAATTTAAAAACTGGAATTTTCAGGGATTATCCACCATACATACAGAATCCTCATGAAAAATAAGTGTCTGAAACTAACACAAAATAATATTGAATGTAAACTGTAACTGAAAACTAAAAATTTTTTAAAGGAAAATAAGTATCTGAAAAGTACTTAAAATCTGAATTGAAAACAAGTTTCATAATTTTTTATTGAATGATCAAGGGAAATATGACGCAAAAACAAATGAAAGGGACTCAAGTCAAAACTGGGATTTTAGATTCCGACAGAAAAATGAACGCTGTGGAAAAACCTTAGCACTGTGTTCATGTGTGAATAAAAAAATAAGTTGGTATCATTTCGAAATCCTTTTTGGAGCTGGCAAAATGGGGTGATTAAGTATTTCTTACAAACAGACTTTGAACGCGACCAGCATTGGTTCATAGCTATTGTTCCGTTACATTTTAATCGCCATTTCCAGAATGGCCACAAGAGGGCAGCACGGCAACACTTCACGTACGGAGCAGGCCTGTGGGTTCCCCACCCAAGAGCTGCCATTTCAGCGCTTGGGAGGGTGTGTGTGGTTTTTTTCCCTAAACTTAACAAAATGGCTGAAGAGCTTGGCAGGGCAAGTGTTTTGTTGCTGGTGGAAGCAACATCAGGTCAAAACACAAAGCAATCTACACTGGGATTGCATAAAACCTATTTCCAGACTAAAGCTCTATCGGCGGTAGAACAGCTAATATTTTTTGGAGCACTTATGAATCAGATCCATGCAAACCTCTCCTTTAATCCTTACAACAAAGATGACATAATTACCCTCATCTTACAGCAGAGGCGTAGCCCGTGTGTGTGTGTGTGTGTGTGTGTGTGTGAGTGTGTGTGTGATGTCCTCGTCCCCACCCCAAGTTTGGAGTATGAATCCACACAACTCAACCACCTCTGGTACTGAGGTCCCACTGAGTCATTCACACATTCTTCAGTTCAACAGATTATTGAGGCGCCCAAAGGCAATGCAGAACAATTCCTTCTAATCACACATCTATGTCAAAGATCTTTATCTCCTCCACCTCTGCCTCAAGGCCTATGATTCTGAAGACTAAACCATATAAATGAGGTTAAAAGACAAGGACAGAGAAAAGAAATTTCAATGTACACACAACAAGAAATGTATACATACAACATAAGAAGAATTACATATCAAAGAAAAAAAAACGATAATTGGGCAAAGGAAATGGGCATGCAACTACAGAAATGAAATGGCCAATAAATTTATGAAAAGGTAATTAAACCTACCAGGTAATTTGGGATCTGTATATTACAACAATATTTGACACTCATTTGCTTTGCGGGAATTTTAAGGGTCTGATTAATATTAAATGATGGTAAGAAAGTAAGAAAAATGGTACTCATATACCACTATTGAAAAAATAATCACTAGAAGCTTTGGAAAGCACCTTGATGTTATCCAGTAAATCTCAAAATATCCCTATGAATCATGCAATTGAAACTGTGGGTACAGCCCTAGCTGGTCTGGCCCAGGGGATAGAGCAGTGGTCTGCGAACCAAAGCGACCCGGGGTTCAATTCTGGTCAAGGGCAAGTACCTTGGTTGCAGGCTCCTCCTCGGCCCAGCCCTGTTCAGGGCTCCTGCAGGAGGCAACCAATCGATATGTTTCTCTCACATCGATGTTTCTCTCTCTTTCCCTCTCTCGAGGATTAAAGAAAAGAAACTGTGGTATGTAATCTAGATAAATTACCAAACTTGTGCAAGGGGCAGGCTGTATAAAATTGTTCAGCGTTCTGAAATCCTAAGATTAAAAACACACACACACACACACAAAACACACAACTCTAAACATTTATGTGTGAAAATGGAAAAAAAGTGAAATATTCATACTATGCAATGAACAATGACAGACTAGGAGTGAATTAGACCTATAAATGACAATTTCAAAACTATTATGTTTTGGGGGGTATATATTTTTTAACTTTCAGAGAGAGGGATAAAACATCAATGATGAGAACTATTGAGCAGCTGCCTCCTGCACGCCCCCTACTGGGGACTGAGCC